TGTCCGGGGAGTAAAATTTTCTCTCTTCACAAACCTAAGTTATGTAGTGCAAGATTGAAAAGTTCACTGAGTCGTCTATTTCGGTCAAGCTGTGTATAAGCATGACCCTGCAGCATTAGCACCAAACCCAAGTATCAGCATCAAAATCATAAAACTATAAATAAAAGCACACAGTTCCAAACCTTTTGATTGGGTTGTGGGTCACTCAAAACAGATCCATTTCCTCATGGAAGCCTCAATAGCCCAGCGCTCCCGAAAAATGGTCATTGTTTCATCATTCAATCTGTCCATGGGCTATTGGTCATGTCAAAATGAATAAATTTTAGGGCATATGCTCCACAATCAGCACTGCAATAGGAAGATGACATTAGCATTAGAATCAACTATAGAACAATTGTATTATGTAAGTTAGTTTTATACAAAATTTACCTTGACTCATTTGTTGGGACGGGAACGTGCTTGAGTGGCCACTTCCTGTCAATGCTTCATCACTGAGGTGCTCAAACATCCCGCTCTCCGCGTAACAGCCACAGGAAACAACACAGACAGTGGCTCTAACTCGGCCTCCAATTGCCTGTCTCGACAAATGTTGGGTTGCAGTCAAGGATCTTCAGCAACTCTCCTTTAAGAGCGCGACGACTGCTATCTAGTGTATTTCTTGACAAGGATGATGCAGTAGACACTTTTAACCTTTGCCCAACGTGGCCATATTTGGGCCTGTCCCCCATTACATACTGCATTATCTTGTCATCAAACTTTAAATCATTAGGGACGCAGTCCAAGTCTTCTGTGCCCGATCATTTTTGCTTGGCTCCTTTTGTTACAAGTGTACCAATGATGTTTTTCAAAAATTGCGATATGTCGATACCAGTGTTTAGCCAAAGGCCACATGGTGATGGCATAATCGGGATACAGTAGATCACCATTGTTGGTTTGTCGCAGCTCATCAGTGCCAATAACTCATCAATGTGCTGTATCAAATAAAAAACAACATGAAGTATACACCTCATGGAAAACATAAGCAAAAATAAGGAAAATTAAGCAAAAATAAGGAAATTAAGCAAAAATAACTACCGAGCCGTGAAGCCAGCTGCCCCTCGTCAAAATCTTTTCAAACCAATCCGGAATAATCCACAGTCTTACACTTTACAAGGGCATCACTTCCGGATTCATTGTAATAGGCATAGAAGGGTTTTTCTTTTCCTCCTCATTGGATATACAAATCGACAATGGACTCCATTTTTGCTTGCCCACTTCCTCCCTTTCCATTTGTACATCCCCGCTTCCTTCGCCTCCCACCTCAACCTTCTCCATTATAACTGCCCCACTTCCTCCAGAAACTTTTAACCCCCTCAAATTGGTTCTTCTCAATTTGTTTCTTGTTTTCCTCTTAGTTTCACGTGTTAGTATGGTGTAAAGCAATTTCACAAACCTGCTCTTTCGGCTTCTTCTTTCAGCCCAGGTTGCACTTTAACCGCCTCAATACTCCACCAACTTCTCTTGCACCTACAACTCTCCTCCACCTTAACAACTTTCTCTGCCACCTTATCCATTTTCTCCTCCACCCTTTTTAACTGCTCTTCCATCTTATCAAACAAACTCTTTAGGGTCAACCACCTCACTCTCCTGACCCTGACGCCCTGGCAAAGTAGTACTGTTGTACATATTTGATGAGGCATACGAACCTCTTCCTCCCTCCCCTCCTCCCCTCCCACCGATTGCGGCTTCATCCTTCTCGGGTCAACCACATTCTAAGCAGTGGCCCTGCAACGCCCTCACATGTGTGACCTCTTGTAGGTCCTGCGTCAGGGGTCTTACCCTTCATCCTTGATCCTCCAATGCTCGGAAAGATGTGACATAGTTCTGTTGCGCTTCGCCCGAGTAGCCGTGAGGAAGGGAGGACAACCCCCTGCAATAAGAAACAAAATCAATCAGAGTTAAACGACATTTTAAAGCAAGTGCATGTTCAAGCTTAATCCTTTAATCTTACCGAGCTGATTGAATTCAATCTATTTGTCATAATCCGAATGGGTACACTTCTGGTCGGCCATCGCAACATCCTAAGAAATGTCTGTGCACAACTGAAACCCTAATCTCCCCCTGCCTTAGCCAGGACAGGGATGACCTCATACATGCAAGCCTACATTGTAAAAAAACAGTCCATATCATAATTCAAACACATATATTAAAAAAAATATAACAAAAAGCTATAATATTTACCTGGATTGCCATGGGAAGCCAAACAAATTGTACATCGCCGGTCTTTCTTCTCGGCCCATTGGGAGTGCTTTAACGCTAGGTCTTTTGCTTGCAAGGACTCCATGGTTCGCTTAAATGATACCCGTCCCCACGGATAAGTATTAAAGAAGTTCAAGTTGCTTAAAAACTTCACCCAATCAATACAATGGCTTTTGTTAAGTCACATAGCCATTAGGATCGAATGTAAGAACAATACCAAGCACAGTTGAACGTCTCTGAATCGTTAAACTCACCATCTTTAACCTATCCTCTTTCCTGTGCCTTAATAGATTTGTTTCCCGCCAAAACCTTGTTAGCCAACCTTTTGGCTCCTGTATTGTCCGTTATTCTTTTTTCCTCAACCTCACTAGCATTCCCCACATCTTAAGTCAGTCACCAACGCATATTCCATCATCTTGAAATGTACTGGCTTTTCATCCACATGAACCTATTTCGTGCTTTTTGTTGCTTTTATTGAGTGCACCAACATATAATGCACTCCGATCCCCGATGTTCTTTCCATTTTGTGTCCATATCCCAAAAATGACTGAAACAAGTCTCTTTGAATCTCCTTTCACCATTCCTCACTGTCCCTAAAATCCCCGTTATTCTCGTTAAAACATCCCAACTTGACCTCACTGTCACCCTCACAGGGAAGTACGGTACCGTATCGCTTACAACCTCTAATCTGTACTCTCTATAGTTTACGCTCCGGAAAATCTGCATAATCGATATAAACAAAATATCAGCAAAAAAATTAAACCAAATCAAATATAAACAAAATACGCTCCGGAAGAATCGCTTAAGCGATGAGCAGATGATTTTGCCTCATACAAGATCTCTTAAGCGATCTGAGATCGCTTAAGCGATATAAAGGATCGCTTAAGAGATTATAGATCTGAGCAGATTTCGTTCTGCCTCGGAAGAGATCGCTTAAGCGATCTTAAATCGCTTAAGCGACCAAGAATAAAAACGATTCATCACTTTTACTCTTGGTCACTTAAGCGATTACAGATCGCTTAAGAGATCTTGTACGAGGTAGCATCAACATCTGTCAGATCTAAGATCGCTTAAGCGATTCATCGCTTTTACTCTTAAGCAATCCAAAATAGCTTAAGCGACCCAGAGTAAAAGCCATCAATCGCTTAAGCAATATAAAGGATCGCTTAAGCGATCTTAGGTCTCGTCAAGTACAAATACCTTTTCTTCGACGGCCTTCTCCTCCGCGACCTCCTTTGAACTCTTGCCGGACTCCTCTTCCTAGCCTGAATTCTGCCCGGCCTCCTCTTCCTCTTTAGAACCGTTTTGCTTCTGTTCTCTCTCTTGTTGTGCCGCTGTCGTCTCCGCTGCTGGAAACCTTCACTGATCGGAGGATCCATTGGAGCAACCATTGAACTGCTTGCGCGGTCGGACTCTACGATTCGAAGAGGCGTTGGGTTTTTGTCCTCATTGTGAATGTCAGCCATAGTTTTAAGAAAGGTAGAAGCTTTAGGATTGAATTTGGGTGTGAAAATTTGCCGGATTGTGGACTGTTATCGCCGGAAATTGCACATATGCGTTTTGGGATTGAAGATATCAATTTTTGCCTTAATTGGTTTCGATTAAGCGATTTGAATGGGTGGGGCTCTTTTTCAAATTTCAAATTTTAAAAACTTTCATTAATCATGATTTTGTCCTTATATGTTTTAATCTTTTCATTTTAACCCATTTTACATGTTTAATGGATCCTAACTATGCCACGTCAGCTTCTCTAAATTGGAAAAAAATACAAAACAGTTTCAAGGCCATTTTTTTAAATCCAAACTTGGGATGGCCGGTCAGATAAATTTTCTCCTAGCCAATCACATGCTGCCATATATTTATTAGTAATTTATCAAATTAAAAGAGGAATGTGAAAGATCTCAAATTAAAAAAGGAATGTGAAAGATATATATTGAATACATTTGACTAATTTTTATTATAGCAATCTCTTAATATTCATGGAAATCAATAAATTATTAGTAATTTATCAAATTAAAAGAGGAATATGAAAGATTTGTATTGAATATATTAATTGAATACATATGAATAATCCTTATTATAGCAAGCCTAATAAACAGTAAACACGTGAACCAATTAACGATATCCTACATGACGATCATTTATCAATCCTACGTGGCGTCAAAAGAAGCAGTGCATTATATAGATATATAGATATATATAGATATTGTGATGGTCAAAGTTCACTGAACGATTCAAATTTAATTATAATTTGATTATTATATTTAATTATGTTATGTCATTGTCACTTATCAGATGATAGATTTGTGAAAAGAGTATAACATAATCATTCAAAATTCATTAAAATCAAGAAAAGATAATGATAATTATTAAATAGATTATTAGTTTATAATTATATAAATTATATAATTTTTAAATCTATTAAAAAGGGGTGTAAGTTAATCAGAATTAATAGTGATTTGTGTGGTATATTATATAGACTAAATTAGGGGAAAGGGAGATGACATAAAGTCAAATTAGTAAAGACAGGTAGAATACCAAAGGACAAGGAGAAATTCTAGGGAAGATTGTTCTATAAAAAAATTGTGTTTTTTTTTTTTTTAAATTAAATTTGAGGCTGAGGGTGGCCTGGGCCTACCTCAAATGGGCTGGGTCCGCCCCTAAATCATATGTGTAATGTATATAAACAAGCCATCTCCTCTCACTTTGGATACCAAATTCTTTCCATCAAGCCCACAAACCTAAGTCGTACGCTGTTTCTACAGTGTTCTCTCTCTTTTTTTTTTTTTTTTTTTTTTTTGTGTTGAATCTCAGAAACGGAAATAGGTCTTTTGTTTATTGATCCAGAAATGAGCAATCTCGAGGGATTTCTATTCCCTCCTACTGATGATGAAATCTTCTTTTTTCTGAAGGAGTAGAAGAGATTTGACCGTAATTTCTCTGTTCAATTCATATCCAATATTTATATTTAAGAGTTTGAAGCGCCGAATTTATCAGTTAAGTATAGTGTCAACTATTGAATTTCTGTTTAAATTCTTTATTTATTATGTCATTAGAAAGGCTGGTAATATTTTGAAAGAAAGAGTTTTTTTTTGTTATTATCTGATACAGGGCGTTTCGCAACTCACTCGTTTTATCTCGTTTGGTTCGAATCTTAAGCAGAACCTCAACTACTATACGTAGTACCTATGAGTTGTTTTGGGACTAGTCTTAGTTGTTTTTCATGGGTGAGAAAGAGTGCATATCTTTCAGTAGGGCGGGCCTGCTGGAATTCAAATTTATTTTTCTACAATTATTTTTTATATTATTTGTTGTTTTTTATCTGTGAATTTATTGCGTAATAGTTATTAGATCGAGTTTGAAATTTAGGGTTTGACGAGTTGGAATCACAGCTAGTACAGTGTGATTGAATTATCATGTTTAGAATACCACTGCAATGAATCTGAACCTTTGGATAGGCTAGAAAGGTATTCTGATCATCAACCAAATTATTTTTTCTTCCTCTGATGAATCTGCCAAAACATTCAGTGAACAAAGAGAAGTTCTTTCATGTTTTTCAGATGATGATTAATTTTTTATTTTTGATTCCCAGGTTGTGAAAGTGAAAGTTTGACGACTTTGAGAAGCCATTTTCATGGATCCGACCTATGGTGGAAACTTGTGGGTGACGTCACCTGGTACTGTTGGTTTTCATACGGCGGGGTTTGCTGCTCTACGTCAAGAGCTAGAAGTACTCACTTTCCCTCTCTCAATTCTATCTTGTTTACTATTAGAGTTCATTATGAAGATCTATGGTAAAAGGATTGTGGTTTTTAAGCAACTTAATTTGTTTTAATCTTATATGCTTTGAATTTTCTTAAATACTTCTAATATTTTCAAGAATTTTAGGGGTGGATAGATTTTTTTTTTTTTTTTGGTTATTTTTAAATCCTGATTTTCATTAACGAGCAAGACAATTTGACTGTTTTAATTTTAAAAAAAATTGATTGGATTTTTATATGTGGGAATTAGATGACTCTAGTACATGAATGCCAACTAAGAAGTTCTTTATTTTAAAGATTGTGGTCTTAGGAGACACAGATACATTACATTATTTATGAGTTGATAGGGATCAGTTATTGCTGCGGTTGAATCTATTCAAACTGATGATAATTGAAATGAAAGGTTGACTCAGAAGGAGCTCCATCACGTGCTGCGGTTGAATCTACTCAAACGGATGGAAATGGAAATGAATATGTCGACTCAGAAGTGGCTTCACCTCTTGCTGCAGTTGAATCTACTCAAACGGATGGAAATGGAGAAAATGTTGACTCAGAAGTAGCACTACCACTTGCTGCTGTTATCTATTCAAACAGATTCACTTGCTGGGGTTGAAACTATTCAAACTGATAATAGTGGAAATGAAGATGTTGACTCCGAAGTATACCACCACTTACTGATCGAAAGAGGTCACAGGGCTCAATGGATGTTGTTGTCTTTATTTATATGATTGATATTTATCCTTCTGTCCTATATTTATTTAATTTGTAATTTATTTGGCATAGACTTTTCTGTTAAATAAATGCATGATACTTGAAGTTCAGGTGATATTATATTTAACTAATTTGTTCTTGCCTTATTTTGCAGTTTTACCTTTGTAATTTCATTAATTGGCAGACTGTTCGTCATTATGCTTCATTTTTGGAGTTGTTAGAATCAGAGCATCTTGCGAAAGTCCTTCCTGGAGTTAAAACTGTTGAATAAGGTATCACAGAGTCTATTTAAGCAATCAAATAGACATTCTTAGTTTAAAACTCAGGGAAGACAAATACTCTGTTTTGTTCTCATAGATGGCTGGTTCAGTAACAGCCTTAGAATTTGGGAAAACTACTAGCTTTTCATCTTCATCAATGTCAGAATCATTCAGTAGTAATAGATGAATGGCTATTTCAGGTGTGCAAATTTATAGGAAGTTTTATGTTGAGGAGAAGAAAAGGCTCAATGGTGTCCTGCAATATGTGTTTCTAAAGTGGCTACTCAGCCTTGCATTACACGGGCCACCATTCTGTCTGTGAGTTGCTTGCTTACTGCAGTCTTTCATTTTGTGTTTCATCCGTTGGTTGGTTAATTCCATGCTTTTGATTCAGGGACTGGTTCGGGTCTTGCACGTACTCCTGGAACAACTTCGGATGCACTTCCCTTAGGGCTGCAATCCAGCCGAGCCGAGTTGAGTATTGAGAACCTTGAGCTCAGTTCTGTTGGAATAGTCAAAGCTCGAGCTCGAGCTCAAGCTATATAGATATATGATCGGCTTAGGCTCGACTTGAGCTCAACTCGATTATAGATATATATTATTTTAATTGAATAATATTTTGATTTTTATATATAATATTAATTTAAAATTAAAATATTATATAATAAGTTGAGCTCAAGTAAGTTTGCGAACTTATTGGGCTCAAACTCTTCTTCATCATTCTTGTTGCCATTTAAACCAAATGTAAGATAACGATTTGTGAAGAAATATATGTATGTCTTGATTGTAAAATTGGTTGAAGAGAAATATTTACTGTGTCCAGCCCAGGTAGGGGCGGACCCCTTCAAATTTACCAAAAAAAAACCAATTTTTTTTATAGGAAAATCTTCCCTAGAATTTCTCCTTATTCTTCGGGATTTTATCTATCTTTACTAATTTGACTCTATGTCCTCTCTCTTTCTCTTAATTTAGTAAATATATTATATCACATAAATCACTATTAATTGTGATTAACTTACACCTCTTTTTAATAGATTTAAAAATTATATAATTTAAATAATTATAAATTAATAATCTACTTAATTATTATTGTTGTCTTTCTATGATTTTAATAAATTTCGAATGATTATGTTATATTCTTTTCATAAATTTATCATCTAATTAATGAGAATGACATGGCATAATTAAAAATAATAATTAGATTATAATTCAATTTGAATCATTTATTGAACTTTGATAATGACAATCTAATGTTAAGAGTAAGCATAATTACTTACTATTTAATTTATTTAAAGAACTTAATCATATAAAACATTATTTAATTTGAAAGTGTATATAGCTTAACTCATTTTTCCAATCGGTCCTTGCTTCTTCCCTTCCAATTTCATCACAAATTTTCATAAGAAATCAATAACATCAATTGGTAAGAAAAAAATTTGAATTGAAAGCAAATTAGGCCAAGATTTAGAGTCTACATAAAAATTTTCTTGTATTTCCTTGTGAATTGAATGTTATTTTTAACATATTTGCTCAAAGTTTTGCTTCTCATAAATTTATTTAAATAGGAAAATATTATGTTATTGTACTTTTTCTTTTCAACTTTTTGATATTGTATCATTTTTTTTGCTCAAAGTTTGGTGGTTTTTTAAAAGTGTTATTAGTTGATTGGTGAACAATGGCAAAGACGCAAAGACTCCCCTCGACAAAAATCCTGGGTCCGCCACTGTGTATATATATACGTGTGTGTGTGTGTGTATAAAACAAAAGATGATTGTTTCACACACACACACACATATGGGTGAGAGAGAGAGCAAAATCAAAACAAGAAGAAATTGTTAAGTTTGATTATATATTTCTCTTAACACTTTTTTTTTTTTTTTTTTTTGCATATTTAATAAAACTTTTTTTTGAACCCTTTGATATATCAAAAGAAGAAATTGTTAATTTTAATAATCACAACACTATTTTAGAAACTATTAGTAAAAAACTTAATGATTTATCACCTTCAAAATCAAACATAAATGTCCTTTCAAAATCAACCCCAATGAAAGAACAAAATGATAGGAAAAGAAAACATTAGAATAATAAAGGTAAAATAATAAAATGTTGGAAATGCAAACATGAATGACACAATGCTCTCAAGTGTCCAACTAAAACACAAAAACAACAATCATTAAACTTTATTTAAGATAATTCTGATAAAGAATCTAGTGATTCATCCATGGATATAATTTATCAAGAAAACTCTCCAGATATTAAGAATTAAGAATTGAATCAGCTGGACAGGAACCCGAAGAGTATCCGGATGACAATCCAATCGAAGATATAGGATTAGGGTAAATAGTTTACCTTCAGGATGTCTTTTTAAAAAGCTCCATGGTCAACCCACATGCATTAATTTATGCATATACGTGATATGTATAGATAGTTAGTTAAACATGACATGTTAAAAAATTAATTAACTAAGGTTAAACCTAAATCTCCCAAAATTAAAATTATTAAATCCAAGTCTCCTTCAATATAAATTTTAATATCCCAAGATTTCTATAATGTAAGGACATGATGAAAATGTCATCCTAAAAAAGCACAATGGTTTGGATTTAACTAGCCTAGGGTACCAAGAATTCTATTATGTGAGGTATCCGAAGCTAGGACAAGGAATATGAATCAAATCTTATATAGTGATATAAAAGGAAAATAGTTTCCCACTTATTAGACTTAATTAACCAAGAATTCTATTATGTGAGGTTAATTGAATTTGATAAGAAATTGATTCCCCACTAAGAAATTTAATCCAACGAAAATTTTTGGATCCTATTTAAGGGAGTGTAGATAAAATAGTGGGAGCTAATTTGATTATGTAATAAAAGGTTTAAAAGATTACAAGACACTAATAAAATTATTTTTCTTTGCAATTTCATCTTTGTGATATATAATAAAAAATGGCCAACAATGTTCTCCTAAAGATACTGGATAATAACATGTTAACCGGACCCAACCTTAAGGATTAGCTAAGAAATCTCAGAATTGTTCTAGATTTCGAAAAGATTGCTTATGTCCTGGAAGCACCTCTTCCCTTGATATTGGACCGGATGCTCCACAAACTGAGCTTGATGCTTTTGAAAAGTGGAAAGAAGATAGTAGGAGGGCTAGAAATTACATGCTAGCCTCAATGAATAGAGAACTTCAAACTAAGCATGAAAAGGTTTTGAATGCTTATGATATCCTCACAGCTCTACAAGAGTTGTACAGCGAAAATCCAAGAGTGGTTGAGTATGAGTTATGTGCATCCCTCTTTAGCATGAAGTTGAGGGAAGGGGTACCTCTAGGTGATCATACTATCAAGATGATCAATGGATTAGGTCGACTGGATGGATATGGGGTGGTCATGCCAAACCGTCTCAAAGTGAATTTGATTCGACAATCCTTTCCTTCAAGTTATAAACTGTTTATAACTAACTATAATCTCAATAGGATTGAGCGAAACCTCTTTGAATTGGTAAATGAGCTTTAAGAATTTCACAAGCAAAATGTGAAAAGGAAATGACATAAGGATGTCTTTGCCGCCTCCACCAGCAGGGCCAATAAAAGGCCCAAAAAGCAACCAAAGAAAGGTCTAAAAGTTGGACCCAAGAATAAGAGCTTTAAGAAGCCAGTGGCAAAGGCAGAGAAGGCCAATGCAAAAGGAAAATGTTTCCACTATGGAGAAGATGGACATTGGAAGGGGAACTGTCCTCAATACTTGAACAGTTTGAGGAAAGGCACAGGAAAAGCAGGTACAAACCAATGCCTTATGATTGAATATGAATTAAGTGTTAATTCAGATAATCATTCCTTGTTATTAGATTCAGTAGCAACATCTCATGTTTGTATGTGGTCGTAGGTACTTCAGAATAGTTCTGAGATGACAAGGGGTGAGATCATTTTGAGGATGGCAAATGGGGCATGAGTTGCAGCCGAGGCTATGGGGACTTGCCCAATAAGACTACCTTCAGGGTATGTTTTGAATTTATTTAAAGTATTGTGCTTTGAAAAAGCCACTAGAAATATCATTTCTATTTCTGCTTTGTGTAAAGTAGGTTACTATGTACTGTTTAATGGAAATGAATGTTCAATACATTTTGGAAATGTTTTAGTTGGTAAAGTTGTGAATACAAATGGTTTATATGTCTTAGAACTAAATGACTATGCTTCAATCAATACCATTTCTAATAAAAGAACTCGATCTGAATCAAATCCTAAAATTCTATGGCATCATAGATTGGGTCATATAGGAGAGAGAAGATTAGTACAGCTTGGAGAAAGTGGGATCATAAACTCATTGGGTTTTGAACCCTATCGAACATGTGAATCATGTCTCCAAGGAAAGATGACCAAGTCTCCCTTTAAGAGTAAAGGAGAGCGAGCTAAAGAACTATTAGGACTCATACATATAGATGCGTGTGGACCATTCAGTACTTTAGCCTGGGGAGGATTTGAATACTTCATTACCTTTACAGATGATATGTCACGATATGGATATTTGTATTTAATGAAATACAAATCTGAATCCTTTGAAAAATTCAGAGAATTCAAGAATGAAGTAAAAAACAAACTGGAAAGAGTATTAAAATACTACGATTAGATCGTGGGGGTGAATACTTGAGTACAGAGTTTCAGAAGTTCTTAAAAGAAAATGGGATCATCTCACAATTAACTCCTTCTTATACACCCCAGCTTAGTGGAGTGTCTAAAAGGAGAAATACGATCGATGGTAAGTTTTACAGACTTGCCAATATCTCTGTGGGGGTACGCTCTCCAGATCGCTGTGCACATCCTTAATAGGGTCCCATCTAAAACTGTCCAGAAAACACCGTATGAGATATGGTATGGAAAACATCCAAGTCTAAATTATATGAAGATTTAGGGCTGTCCAGCTTTTGTTAAATTAGTTAAATCTAATAAGCTGGATGTTAAATCCAAGAAGGGTCAGTTCATTGGATATCCTAAAGATAGTTTAGGATATTACTTTTACTTCCGAAGTGATCAAAGAGTTTGGATCAGTAGAAATGTGAGCTTCCGCGAGAACGAGTTCTTGGAGGAAGGCGATGTTGGAAGAAATATTGAACTCAAGGAAGAGTTCAAAGAGCCAAGAACCGAGATTGCTGAAGCTGGAATGTCCACTCAGCGAACCTTAGTATCAGATACTATGGTTCCAATGCGAAAGTCTTGTAGAATATCAAAACCTCCAGAAAGATATGAGTTCCTACATGAGCAAGATTTTGAATCTTACTAAGCAGGAGTAGATGATCATGGTGATGATCATAGAAGCTACGAAGAAGCAATACTGGATAGAGATTCAGGAAAATGGCTAGAAGCGATGGATTCTAAGATAGAATCAATGCATGCCAATCAAGTATAGTCACTTGTGGATCCACCAGAGGGAATAGTTCCTATAGGTTGCAAATGGGTCTACAAGAGAAAAGTTGGCAAGGATCAGGAGGTAAAGACCTTCAATGCTTGACTGGTGGCGAAATGTTATACTTAGAAACAAGGATTGGATTATAAGGACACCTTCTCGCCTGTAGCTATGATTAAATCCATCCGTATAATGCTAGATATTGCAGCATATCATGATTATGAAATTTGGTTGATGGATGTCAAAACAACTTTCCC